GATTTTTGAAAACAGTAAATATTTTATGAAGAACTTCATCAAAAAAAATCAGAATCTAAATGTTCTGTTTGTGTCCATTATTGTTATTGCTTGTGCATTTGCTTGCTTGTTGAACTGTTGGACAGTTTTCGTCTCTTAAACATTTTGAGGTTTCATTTTAACTAGAGCATTTCATAAGTATAATAGAACCCCAAACTAAATCAGGAATCAATTAGGTAATTAACTGAAATTAAACCAGCAGAAGCATGTTCCAGCTTTAGGGGACCTAGAATGTTATTTAGATATCTTTATAGCTTAGTTCTTAAATATGTCTTATTTTTATTCAAACTAATATGCACTAGCTACTGTACCAATATAAAATGTTCAGCTGTAAAAGGAACAATACACAACTGATTAATTCAGCAGGCTGTAAAAGTTAGGATAATAAAGTAATATGAACAGTCATACGAACATTAATGCGATCTTTTTGATAAGAAAGTCTGTAAATGATATGCAAAGTCAAATAAAAGTGAAAAAGTATTTGTAATGCTATTTGTTCTTAAATATAAGGTTACAACAGTATATTGTCAGGCTGAACATGTTAATTAAGAAGCAAAATTAATTTAGAAAGATTCAATACTCAATTTATACTTTGATTTAATTAAGTTTCAGAATAAAATCAATCTCTACAATCTACAATCTCTATATTTTTGTGGCACTATGCTGTAAAATTAAAAAAAAAATTGTCTATTTTTCCGTTATGTTACATGAAATAAGTAAAAAAGCACTATATTGATACCAATAAGGCTTGAATCTTTTCAACTCATATAAAAACTATCACATAAATTAACCTATTTCTTTTAAAATTCTAATCTTTTTCTTTTAAAATTCTAATCTTTTTCTTTTAAAATTCTTTTCTTGGCAATGATCTGTGTATAACTCAAGTAAATGTTGAAGAAAAAGATGTATTTTTCCATTTTCTTTTGGGACCCTTTACCTTCTTAAGAACTGGACTGTAACAGGAAAATGTGCCAATCAGTTCTACTGGATACTGTAAAATAAATATATCATATCAGCTTTTCAGGTAACGTACTGCCAAAAGACAATGACTAAAACATATTTATTCAATTTAACTTGTTAATTTATCCAAATATTAAAATCAAAATCACTCATTTTAGTGTTATAACACATTGTTCATGTCTTCAAATGTTCAAAGGTACTTGCAAGTTAACATAAATTTTCCGATGATTCAACATTGATAAAATAAAAAAGTTGTACTTTGAGATCAGATTTATGTACTTTTGTAATTATAAAATTGATGTGAGACAATATATCTACAGTATCTCTTTTATTTCTGCTCTATGGAATTCTTGAGTTATTGAATTTTACAGTTCATATTTCAGTATGTCTGTTTGCAGTTTGGATACAGCAAAGCTTCAAACATGCCAAAAATGTCACTGTTTCTGAAATAGATTCTTACATAATAGATAAAACAGGCTTTTATGCTTCTAATGCTCAGACTTATATTTTACATTATATGTTTTTTCTTTGTAAAGGAATTTTATCATCTGGGAGTAAAATAAAGTGGATTTATTAATTATTAAAACTCAAGCAGTTACTTGAATAATAATTAACCTACTCTATATGTACTATGCTTGATTGCACATAAACATTTTGTTACAAAAGGTTTGTGTTTTTCACATTGAATAAACAGATTTTCTTGAAGGGCACAGTAAGATCTTGGGTTTTGTCATTATCATATATAACAAGGATTTCTTACTTGAATGTTTTATTTTGTCATTATATATACTGATATGGGCCTGCGGTGCTACTGTATCTGTGTGTAGTCTGTATGCTCTGCCTGTATCACATGGGTTTCCTCTGGTACTTTGGTTTCCTCCCACAGGCCAAAAACATCCTGGTAGGTTAACCGGCTTCTGGGAAAGTCAGCCCTGGTTTGGGTTTCAGTCAGTGTGTGCGCTGCAATGTACTGGTGCCCCCTCCAGAGTGTATCCTGCCTTGAGCCTGTTGCTTGTTGGGATAGGCTGGTATCAAACAGTAACTCTATATTAGATAAAGCTATTAGAAAGTGGACGGTTATACTATTGCACAATGAAAATGCAACTCTAAATCTTACGTCAAATAGTAGGGAATTTGGTTCATATCTGATGTTATTTCAATTTTAAATTATTTTAGATAGGTGTGTTCATTTTTTTAATAACATTGTTCCCTGAGTTAAAGTCATCTGATTTCATAAAACCAGATGATTAGTTTTTGGAATATGAATGGAGTATACGAAATCCACAATGAGCTAATAAGGAATCTGTATGAATCAGCTATCCAGAAGGTCATTATTTTAATGAAGGTAAAAAGCAGTATGATTAAAGGCAGGCTATCAATGAAATAAGTTATTTGGAGAATAAAATGTTCTAGTTTAGCAATCAGTATATTGTTTCAAAGACTTACTTAATATACAGTATGGCATGGCAGTAAAGTTGCCCTTTATCTGCACAAAAGATATTCTTTTGATAGAGGAGATTCCACCAAACATCATCATACTTAAACCACCTCAGTGGTTGGCTTGAACAATGCAGCAGTCAGCATTATACTCACGACAACATCTCTATACACAATATCTATCATTGTCAAGGACAGTGGCATTCATTGGCTAACAAAATACTCTGCACCTATCTCTAGGATTGTTCAGTCAGACTGATAGCTGCTGTCCAACTGAAGATGACTTCGTCTTTTGGCTGTTTTCTTATCTCTGAAAACTCTTGGTGCATGCAGATCTTTTTGCAATAACAGTGATTTACCCTCATTCTGCTGACATACAGGTTATTTCTTCCTGAAATTCCTCATGCAGTATCAAGTGTAGTGATATGCAGTTAATGCTATCAGAGATCATACCCTAACTTTGCAGAGCATTCATTTTGACAATATTTTATTTTTAATGCTGAAAGCTTGTCACTTTGTTCTATATTTTTGTTTAAAATTTGAATCTGGAATCTATATTTAAAATATTTAATTAAATATATAAGATCTGAAGGTTGTGCTTATTTTGTTGATCACTATATAGTGTATTTGTCGAGACAGAAATCTGGATGTCTAGATTTCTTTTAATTTGTGCTTTAAAATATATATATATTAATATAATATAATAAAAATTAATGTATAGATACATCTAAATATATATATATTAATTAAATGTAACACTAGATTATACAGAAAAACAAAAGTTTTTTGGTCTCAAAAACAGTTTTAAAAGCATCTTTATCATCATATTTGCAATAATTAAATTCACCCTGTATGTGGGCACAGGATTAAGCTGTAGTTGCAATTTCATGAAAACATTTTCAATATTTCCACTAACTGATAAACATTTTCTTAAATATTTAGCTGTGTTAAGATGTGTGGATATGTTAAGTAATCTAAAATAATTTAATTATGCACACTACAGTATATCTGCAGTATGAAATTGAATTGAATTTAAAGTTTGTTCTATAAAAGTTAAATGAACTTTTTTTTTAAATTAATTAATACAAGGTTTTCTGAAGTTTATTTTAATCAGTGTTTAGAACTGCTGAGCTCTTACATAAACTTTAATTATAAAGTATTTTCAGAATGTGCAATAAATTAGGAATCATAGAACGAGGTCATGTTAATGGCATTATTATTCCTGACTTACTTAAGATTAATGTTCCTGCCTTTCTTATTTATTATCCATCATTTCTTACTTCACACACCATATGTTAGAGTGAATAAATATTAATTTAAATCAGAAATGGTGAGATTAAAATCGAGTGGAAGCAGGTGATTTGAAACAAGACTGGTTTGCAGCCCTGTACTGTTAGTAACTGGACCTGTAGCTTCATTTTTTAAATGCTGTTTATCCTACTGTATATTCTACTTCAACCTTTTGCTTCATGATTCACTGTTAATTCTGAACAAATCCAATGGGTGGAATCTGTCTGTTTATTGTCTACTCTTTCCAAGACAAAACATGTTTCATTTTTTTTAGCTTGTCAGCATAGTTGGGACATTTCTTTAGGTCAAGGAATATATCTGTTCACTTTTCTCTGGATAGATGCCCATTAATAATAAAATCAACAATACTGTAATGTGGTGGTCAAAACTGTACACAGTATTCTTAATTAGGTCTTCCTGTTCCATTGTACAAAGATTTTTAAAACTATAATTTTGTTTCCAATAGCCTGTAAGTATGCACAAAATGCATATATGTATAATGTATTGTATTGTTTTGCTCATGTGTACTGAATAGAACGTATTAAGAAAAAGCACAATAAATTCCTTCAGCATGGCAGTAATATAATTGTTTCCATTTAATGTGCTGCTTGATTACAAGTCTAAAACCTGGTCAGCAACATGCAGTCTGAAACACTAAGCATGTACAAATGTACAGTATTTGACAGACATTGTTCTGGTTTGTCTTGCTTTGTGGTTAATTTATACTACTTGAGTCTCTACATTCATTTTTATTTTTAGATTGTATCTGGAGGCCTATTTTGGGGATTGGATTTTGTTTGTGTTATTTGTCAGTAAAAGTGATAAAATCTTAGTGGGTGGTGCTCTTCAGCTTTTCATGTCCAGGCTAATTATCTTTTAACTGTCATATGAATACAACAGGGTATCTAACTTGTAAACATCTACTGTTATGTTACCAATACTTATTACAGTACACCTGTACAGTGTACAGTGTACCTTTTTAACTAGAAATGTTACTCAGTTCACATTTTCAGAAAAAGCTAAAGTACTTTTACATTAGTGTTTAATGAATTAGCTAAATTAACTGAAAGTTAATTCAGTATTATACACCACACAAATTCAATGTATTGTTTTCACCAAACACCTATGACTACAATGTAGAATGAACATTTATTTTATTAATAATAAATGTTATTACATGCTGCATTTTCATGTAATGTTATTAGATGCTGTGATATCTTGTTCTTTATTATTAATAGACATTTGAAATTATTTCTCTTCTCTTGTTGCTTCAGTTGCAAACATTCTGTGGCGAGAAGAAGGTACTCACAAATTTTGTTTCAGTTGAATGACTTTACTATTAGAAACGTGTTTTTTAAGTTGTCTTAGTTTTCCAATGTAAATCACTGTCATCTTTCAAAGGTTTTACGAAATAGCCTGTGTTAGTACTATTGTCCCTAGTCTTTGACATTTAAAAGTGTAAGTACTGTACATAAATTGTCTTTTTTGATAGTTATGTGTATTTCCTGTGCATGGCAGTTATGTTTTCTGATACACTCCACTTGAATTTATTGGAACAACCTCAACTAAAATGCTCACCTAAAAAGCATTAGTTCTACGACAGCAGTTAAAGGTTTCAGCTGAGTACTGGTACTAATTTAGAATTGTTTTTTTTTATTACAGTGTAACTACCTTCATGTAATATAATTATTTCTCTCTTTCATTTAGGTCTTGGAATTGGCAATATGTTCTATGTATTTTATGAGGATGGGATTAAAGTCATTCAGCCAGTGGAATGTGAAATTCAGAGACATATAAAACCAAGCGAAAAACTACTTGGACTTCAGGTGAGATGTGCATCTTACAAAAAAATAAGATCTGGATTGAAATGTTATGGCATTGCTTGCTCAATGAATATATTATTTTTCAAATCATGTAGAATTTAGTACTGTCTTTATAACATCATAACAGGAACTGTTGAGACTTACAAATTTAAAAGCTACCCTTTAATGGAGTTGCCAATACCTTAAATATAGGGGGGGAGGGGAATCACCCAGTACTGTTTATTATATTTATACCGTATGTGGATTTGTTTTTTTATATTAAATTCCCAAAGATTTGATGTGAATAGTAATTCTAAGACAGAATTGGTCCTCTTAGAATTTCTTTGCATCTTGAATAGTGTAGAAAATCTCAGTGTAACAAAGCTCATGCATGGAGCCAGTCATCGTGACATCACTGCCTCCCCCGAAAGCCAATGCGAATCTGTGCTACAGCAGAGGACCATGTCTAGCATAAGTATCCACCATCTAGGAAGTGTAGTCCATGAGCAACCAGGACTAAATCTGGGCAATGGCAGGGAAAGCCGCACTTGTCACACAGGTGCTGGGACTCGGATCACTCAAGATGATGTTTGTCAGTTGCAGAGGCTGCTGTGGAGAAGAGTAGGAGGAATTTAGAAGTGGAGAATGCAATAAGAAGCCCATGAGCAACTGGGATCAAATCCCTGCAGGTGCAGTAAAAACTGCACATGAGCATTGAAAAGATTTCTCTTTTATGTTGACAGCATTTCATACAAGACAAACTGATGCAGATCAAAAGACAGTGCCTTCAGGTTTAATATGACTATTTATGTTATGTTCTCTTCCTTTGTCATATGCTGTTGTCATGTGTTATATGTGGCTTCTCTGTTATTATCATCACAGAACATGCAGTGAATAGTAGCTCAACTGTGTTACCTGTGTATTTTAGGAGACAAAAACAGATAAATAGATTGTCATGAATCTCTTGTTGTGAACAAGCATTTGAATGGTACATTCAATATGAAAGGGAGCTACAGCTTTCTGTTTTCTAGTTGTTTGGTTACTCATAATATTACACTATGAATCACAAGAAAAACATCTACGAGTGCTAAAAATGTGGCTTTGCTAAATGACAGTATAAGGTGCATATAAATAATAATAATATAAACATAAATAAAATATAAAACAAAGTAAAAAGAGTAGCATTCTACAATATCAGACACAATACACTACATCAGTTTCCATTAATGCTGTACAAAAATTGCTTTTATAATTACATAATATTCTCACATATTTTAAATAAATATTGTAATCCAAGACATTACTTATCTATAGGGTTCAAAAAATAAAAAGCTTCTATATTATAAGCTATCAAACGTAATGAGCAAATGTAAAGTTAAGCTGATACAGTACTTGAAATTTGTTTTTACATTAAATCATCTAAATATGAGAGCTTAAACAATTATTAGTAAAAATAGCATTTCCCACCAAAAATGGAGGAAAACATTTTAAATTAATTCAAATGACCCTGTCAGAAACATTGATAATTTATATTCAAAGGCTCTGTAAATCACATAAAGCTTTAAACCAGATAAGTGTGTTTTGACATAAAAAGAATAGAAAATATATCTGGATCAATATTTTAAAATGTCAGTAATAAACTATACAGATGCACCCATTCAAAACGAGCGGGGTATGCTCATGGTGATAGCTGGATTTAAGTCAGTTACTTAAGCCATCATGCCACAGACACAGTCATGCACTATACAGTGAAACAGAAGTACTGTTTCTTCTTTTTATTCTCAGCTACTAAAATTCCCTTTAGTTGTAAAAATATTCAATACTAAGCGGATTAAAATGTGCAAAGTAAATAGATTAAGTGATTAAATCTTTTCACTACTGACCAATGCACCATGAGTGCCTCTTTCGGTCATTTATGCCAGCCAATCACGTACCGCGATTATGCCACAGTGGCTTGTGGGTAGTTGCGTGCAGTACGAGTTTGTACCGCGAAGTTTGAATGGCTGCATCTGTAGGTATACATGCAAAACATTAATTACTTGTTGTTACGTCCCCAATATGGCTCAGTCTAGGGGTGAATGGGGACTAACAACATATGAGCCTGGGTTTAACAGAAATACACACAACTACGTGTAGGGTGACGGAAAATGCTAGAAAGTGAAAAAAACAACTCACTACACTATTCTACAACCCAATTACCCTCTAAACCTGTCTCCTGAGAAAGGTGTGGCAATACCAAAGCAGAGTCTTTCGCAAGCTATCTGTCTATTCTATCTAAACAAAGCTATAATGGAAAACTAAAAAAGAAAACACAGATGCCACAACAATCCCAACCCTACACCACAGCTAACAACAAATCCAACACGTCTCATGTTTTCGCTGTTTCTCGTTCTTACACCTCTCTCTTCAGACACTCTCAGGATGTTCCGTATCAGCATTGAAAACCTGACCGCTCTCTTCAACCAATCCAGAGAGAGACCCAATTTAGGGATTTTTGGGACCCACCTCCAAAAATGGACCCCCGCATGGGAGGGGAGTAAAAAAAATCAGAATTTAACACTCCTACCGTTAAAAACAAACATAATGTTTGTTCAAACAAGGGGTTCACAATAACATAGTCTAGAAAAACCACGAACATACAGAAATATATTTTTTTAAATAAACATGCGATAAAGCATCAGCTACAACATTTCCAATGCCCTTTTTGTTTAATTTCTAATGGATAACCCTATAAGATAAGTGACAAGCGCATAAGCTTTGATTGTAATTATGCATATGGTGGAGAAAAGTCTATTGGCAAGGAACTTGAACTTAAATAAACCTCAAAATATTGCAAAGCGAATAATAAAGCTAACGTCTCCTTTCAATAGTGGAATAAGTAAGTTGATGTTTATTGAATTTCTTTGAAAAATAACAAACAGGGTGGTCAATTCCATCTTGATCCCCCTGCATTAAAACTGTGCCAGGACCTGTACCACTAGCATCTACCTCTAACTTAAACGGTAGAGCAGTCTGGAGCAGCAAGCACAGGAGAATTACACAGCAGCAATGCATAAAGGTATTTTATATACAGTATGTCCGATGTTTTCTGTGTGGTTTAATAGAAATTAATGAACCATGAGCTAGAAAATGCTATTCTAAATGGTCAGCAACAAATTAACTGGAATTGGGCATTGCCCCAAGACACATATTTAATACATTTACATACCTATAGCCATCTGTTTACTGTTATCTGTGTATTTTTCATAGCCTTAATAAGTCTACTGTATAAGTCTCATCTGTGCTTAAAATTCTACCATTCAATCTGAGCAATTCACATGCATGTTATTCTTCTAATTTGCATTTTATGAAAGCAGAAACTAGATATAATGGATGGATATCCACGCAGGCTAGAAAATCCTAAGACATCCAATAATGTTTTATACTACTAAGATTTAAGAGTTGATTTACTTTCAAGATCTAAAATATGGGTTTTGAAGATCATTCTACATCCGTAGTGTAAAAGAACAGAAAGGTCTCTCATGATTTGGAGTCTTGTTTGGGGAAATGAAAGAAGGCAAGAGTCCAGAGAGTGAAAATTATGTGTAGACATATAGGGAGGTAAGAGTTTATAGATGCACCAGGAGACAAACCATTCAATATACAGTATTGAAGGTGAGCAAATTTATTTTGAATTTAATTCTAAATTACACAGGAAAGCATTACAAAGAAATGAAACAAGAAATATGCTGAAATACAATATCAAAGAACTCTGTGTATTATGTATTTATTAATATGTTTTAAACACATACATGGGAAATAAAAAAATTAAAACAAACAAAAGGAGGATTTTTAGATTAAATGTTTCTGGTTTAAGTTTTGATAAACTTGCATGATAAACTTGCGTTATATAGTTGATTGGATGATTTAACCACTTGTTAACCTGTCCAGCCTGGCAAAATTTACAAATGAAAATCACAGGATGAAACCCATATATCCCACTTATCAAGAGAATAAAGCTTTTGTGGCATCAGTACGTTGGAGGGTGGAGTAGGTCAGCGTAGTCTTGATCACCTTCATAAGTACTTATGGCCAGCAATTTCGAATCAAACCAAATATTATAGTCAAAATATAGTCCATCAAAGACAACTTTAATTTACTTGTCACAATACCTTAAAATAAGAGTGATGGAATGGTGAATGTGTGATGGTCTGGTAAGAATATCTCATGCTGCTTTTGTAACAACACATTTCTTGTGAGAAGAGAATGTGACAGTTATGCTATAAATGCCCTAATCATCAGACCTGAGCTTCACTGAACATGTGAGAGATAAGCTTGGACAACATAAGGCATCCAGGGTGCAAAGAGCAATGAAGATGGGAATCAGTGAACAAATATGCTTGTCCATGACCTACAAGAGGAATTCCACAAGACAGCAAATGTCACTCAGTACAAAGCTTACATCATTTCTTTCTACTCTTTAGAATATCATGTCCAGTCTTGGTTACTACACTATAAAAAATATATTGTTGCACTGGAATCCAGAGTAGGTGAACAGATCAGCCAGTTATCGTCTAGGGTGTGGCATTACACGGGGGCATATCCAGTGTGTAGGCAAAACCATGGAGGAAGAGCGATGCCTCACCTTTGTAGTCCCAACTGTCTTGGCTTTTAGAAGCTGAGCCACAGCTGTGCAGGTCCTATAAAGGCACTGTCACAAATCGCACGCAGGTATGCAAGCGCTCCTACATTTCCACAAGCTCTACTCTTCCTAAACTGCACACCAATTTACCTTGACTATGACTTCACCTCCCGATTTGGTAACTTCAAGCTCCCTGAACCTTCCTGGCTGTTGACCCAAGCACCTGTCCTCGACTACGACTTTGCCTCTCGTCTTGTGCCTATTGCTCTCAGAACCTTCCTGCCTTTTGACCCCCTAGCTTTTGTCCACGACCACGTTTTCGCCTCCTGTTTTGGCACAGAACCACTGATACCTGAAGTGCCTCACACTGGGTCCAACCTCCCGTAGCCTGGTTCTACGTGGCAGGCACACTGAACACCCCCTGAAGGGATAAGCAAGGCCACCCCTGGAAGGGGGAGTTGTTTAACAACAGTCCCAGAGGGGATTGCACCTATGTAAGGTGTTCTTTTTCTTTTTCTTTGTGCCTGTCCCATCACATATTTTCATCAGGGTAGGCACACATTTTTCACATACAGTACATGTATAATAGTTTTTTGTTTTGTTTTTGCGTTACATGTCCTGCTCTACCAGACTAAACCCCGCTAAATAGGATAAGTCCAGTCTGGTCACTGCTGTGCTGGCAGTTCTTCTTTTCCCCAGGCTGAACCCTGTTAAATAGGGAGGGCCCAGGCCAGAGGTTGTGATGATTTTTGTTATTTCTGGTCCCTGCTTCCCTCCCTCAGTTAGGGGTGTTGACTTTTTACTGGTGCTCGCCGCAGCTCCTTCTACCCCCACATTGTCACAAGGGCCATTGAAACACAAACCAGAAGGTACCAGCTAAAACTATTTGCGAGTGCAATTGAAACCAAGAACAGGAGGCAACAAGCTAACCAGCAATGTAGTTGATGCTGAAACCTTGGCTTCTTTCAAGAAACAGCTAGATGAGATCCTTGGATTAATTAGCTAACAACTACAAAACAAGCTTGATAAAGAAAAATGGCCTGCTCTTGTCATCATTCTTGTGTTCTAAATTTCTAGGATTGCAACCAATGGTGGCCATACATACTTCTAGCCATTGATTTTACAGCTTACCTCTTGTTTGTGATTGAATGCTAATCAGCATGATTAATTACCTATGTCATGGCTATGTCATGGCTGCTCAATAAATTGCCAGTCCACTTGAAGCAAATAAGCATTTTATTGGTAACTTTGTATTTGATGTTTAGTATACACAGTATACTAAAGTATGCTCAGGCATTTTAATTTTTAATCAAAATCATAAACATGTCTCAACGTTAGAATATACAGCAGTGAGTACTGCATTACCAAGCCAGGAAAAGACAAACACATGCAATCTCATTTCTGCTTCAGATTGGAAAAGATACACATTATCAACAAATATGTGAAGTGTTCAAGGATGAAAATATAGCAAACATAAAATTCAAATGTGAGGATCTTATCAAAGATGACACCAAGATTACTGAAATCTTGGTGAAATCCTGGACTGATTAAAGGATCAGATTTATTTGGACTCAAACTATGACATTTGCAGAGCTTGTAATTGGAGCCAGACTGTATAACGTTGGTCTTGTCAGAGTTTGGATGTGTATTTGTTGCCTCCATTTCCTAACATAATCAAAGTAGTGACACAATCCAATGTCTGAGTGACATCAGGTTTTTTGTGAACGTCATTTTGAGTGTATTAGCATGGAAATGAAAAATGATGCCTTCCTTACAAAAACTCTGGTTACCAAATATGATGTAATGGTAACATTAGATAACAGTAATGTCTCACTTAGCATTGTTTCTGTTACTGCATATTCACCATATTGTTATTTGCCCTGGCATTTATTTTATTAACTCAAAACAAATCTGTTTATGAGTGAAATGTTTGTCTGCAACATGCATACAGGCCAGGCATGTACATCTTCATTGATTATGCTTGTTTTCTTTATTAATATTCCTAGAAACCATGGCCTAGCCCATTCTGGCAGATATAGCCCCTGAAATCAGTATCTCACAGTTACCTGGTTGGAGGATTGAAATTAGTCAGTGGTTAATATTAATGCAAACTCTGAGTGAATTTGCTAATGGACCAAATTGTGCTTGTTTAGCTATACAATATTTAAAAAATTGTTAACTCATTCCAGTATAATTTTTTAAATTTGTATTCTTTGGTAATTTTTGGTATCATTGCTACTATTATGGAATCCGCAGTGAAGTGTACATCGCTGATGTGTAACAAATAGTGTTTCTGGGAATTCATTCCCATTAAATCCATGCTAAACTGTCTCTGTTAATGCTGATTTTACACACTTCTTCTTTCTCTGGAACACATCCCCATTCAAACAGATTTATTATTGTACAGAAATAAAGGAAACCAAAACAGAACCTTGTGGAACTCCATCTTTATCAAAGAACACAAAGGTTTCAAAGTACTGTACATATCAGTGGATCAATTGAGGATGCTAAAAATGAAATCTCTAAACATAAAGCAAACAGATGCATAATTGTCCATTCTTACTCAAACAGGAGAAATTTGAAAAAAAATCTAGCTTTATTTTCTTCTCTGTGAGTAAGAACAACTGTCATTAAAAAGTGCAATCAATTTTTACTACAATATTCCTATGAAAACCTTGTGGTATTTTACTGCAATTGTTTGAAATACAGAATATAGCATTCTACACAAGCCATCAAAGAATGATAGATACTACAGACAACGGAGGCTATGGTCATTTTCATGTTATCGTATACTGTACATGTAAAAAAATGTTGATGGGAGTTTGGCTCTAAGCAAAGAGAATCTGTTCTGGAATCCCTGTTTTGTCCTCAGAAGGGATCTCATCCATCTGGCAAGTCTGGAACAGAAACACAAGGCCTCAGCTATCCTGAGAATTTGTAAAGCGATGAACATAAGGTTGATCTGAGTCTGCATTAAATCTAACAGATTGTGTATTTGATACATAATGTTAACAAAATAGTGGTTGTCATATGAATATGTCTTTTCACTATATTAATTTAAAATGTGAATGTTTATTTAAGGATGAGGTTTGCCCACAACTGGAAGGTGATACCATTCAGAGATGTTTTTGGTCTTCTGCTGTAAATGTTAAGGACAAGTACATTTATGTCACTCAACCAAATCTAAACAGAGTTCTCATCGTGGATGTTCAGTCACAAAAGGCTATACAGGTAAGATATTAGTAATTTTTTAGAAAATATTTGATAACTTATGGAACAGATAGAATAATTTAACTTGCTTATTGAAAGAACCTACTCAAACAGTAATGGCAGAAAATTTGTTGTATTTCCAAACTATTCATTTCTATATCCTCCATTAACAGACAGCAAGGTTACACCCAAACTATAATCTTTTTTAAATCTAATAAATAAGAGGTTTTTAACACCAAAATATTTAATGTGGCTTCTGGACGCCCACTTACAATTTATTCTTGATTAGAGATACAAATTCAAATCAAGAACAAAACTAAACAAAAGTACATCCAGGGGGTTTGGATAATATATATATATAACTATAATATGATACATATAAACAGATAAATATGGTGAAACCAGCATATTCTGTTACACAATATGTACTTTTCTGTTTATACATTCACATTCACATACTGTATAAACATATTTTGTTTCATTGAAACACATTTATCTATTTACATGTAGTATATTTATTATGTTTTCCACAGCCCCCAGGTATAATTATACTTTTATATTTAACAAATCCTCCTTAATCGGCATGTAAGTTACTGCAGCACACAGTACATTAAGGCAATAAAAACAAGATTAACTTATTAATGTCAGCATTTCATATATGGGATGGAGTGAATCTGCATATCATATATATGATACATAAGCCTCATCTGCATGATTATATTTGCATAACAATATGCGCATAAATGAAGTACTGTATCAATAAATACTATAAACCTTTGACCTCTTGTTTTTCCTGTTTTGAATTTAATTATAACAGATTATTTCTCCACATCAGTACCAAAAGTAATTATTCAAGGAAGTTATTGCGTCTTCAAAATTGGCCTGAAAAAGAAAGGGGCATACAAAAACAGTATTTAGTATTGAAAATTTATTTAATTTATTAACCTTGTTAAGCATTTTCTAAATCGGAATAAAAATGCTTCTCCAACCTTTTCGTTCGTGACAATTGTACTCTCTTTAGTATCTGTCTTATTTAACTTTTCTAGTAAGCATTTTAAGTTTTCATTTTTTATAGAAGGCTTATAGCCTATGCTACAAGCTGTTTTCAATGCCATGTAATTTTGTAATTTAACACTTGTGCTTTCTGTACCTCTGTTTGCCATTATCTTTGTGGGTAGTATACTGGCCCTGATTTTTAAAAACAGTATTTAGTTACTTTGCATTGAATTAAAGAAATGTATACCAGCAATCAATAAAAAGAAAACACCTTGAAAAAAATCACAGAAATATTTCATACTCACCATACAAATATTTCATACTCACAAACATACAAATAACTGGCATGGCCCCCTACACTGTATGTATTGTAATACTCTTTGTGAAAACATTTTTAATCTCCCAGACACAATAAAATACAATACTAAAATAACAATGTCCATGTCCCACCTCATACAAACCCACTTTGTCCTTCAGCCTCAGTGACAACCCCCCCACACATATTTCTACTTAAGGACCCCTAAAATACAAATGGCTGCAGTGGATCCCCCATGCAAAAAGACTTTAAAGGCATCAGCTTCAGCACCTAAAGCACCCTCTGTCCTACAACTGACACCATGGATCAAAAGTCACATAAAATAATATCAAAATAGACCAAAATCCAGTGATGCCAAGAGAAAAAATGCAAAGACTCCTAAATCAGCTCTAGGATTGTTTTTGATGACATCAACAAGCCAGTTCCCTTTCTGAGGACCAGATTAAAGTTTGTAAACTACAAATATCCTTTTTTAGAATAAAGGAGAAAAAGGAAGATATCTTTCTTTGTATTTTCAGAACTTATTTTGGGGGCCCTCCAAAAATATGTAAAAACCACAGCAACCCCAAGGCAGAGCATACACAGAACTAGAAACTGTTCTAAAAAATACCATCTATCTAAAAAATATTGCACTTAATCTTATGCACCATAAATAATGATTAAAATCAAAATAACCTTTCATTCTTTTTCTTTTAGCTTACATTATTACTCTGCAATACAAATTATGTTTCACATACTTGATATCTGGTGTGACATACAGACATAGTGTTTTTTAAATGAAGCATTGTACTGTATTCTTTAAGGTAAAAGCTGTGTTGTTTACTTCTGATGCACTAACTGACTGGAGGGACCATTTTGGTTCTGAGGAGGATCATGTTTCAGCCACAGCACTTCAGAGACTTGTAGGAAGTCCCCGAGAGTAAACTTATGTGCTGGCTTCAGTCACATATAGTCATTAGTCAATCACCTGGAGGCTTGGCTTCATTAGTTTAAATTAGCTGCTCTTAATTAGCCACCTGGTCTTTTTCTGACACTTTGGCAAACAAAGTTTAGTTCTTTATTTTTTCTAGGTAAGACCATTTGGTTTTTTAAACACTGTGAAATGACTTTCTAAACTTAAGCTTTTTGTTGAATTACACAACACAATTTACAGAAATAATTCTAGTTGTGACTTAGCTTAAAGCACTCTACAAAATTTCGCAGCAATTAGATTACTAATAGATGTTAGTTTTCATTTTAGCATAAATAATTTTTTTGATAAGATTATTGCAACTAAATTACAGTGTGGTAAAAAGTCAATCTGGTTAACTGAATCATTGAATTTTCAGTACTGTAAATATAAAAGGAACCAGCTATAAAATAGGATGGTGCATCCATCAGAAATAAATAGAACATAGTCTGCAGTAGTCAGTTTCTATAAATCATGGGAATGAATATTAACTCATAGGCCAGTAAAGATGATACAAAGGCTTTGGGTGCAAACCTTGATTTTCTACACACAAAAGCAGAATTATAAGTCTATTTAGACAATTTTGCTTTCTAATTATGAAACAGACACATCTAATTAATATTCATTCTCATAATTCATGACTGTTTGCTGTTAAAAAGGCCGCAAAGCCTTCTTGTAAAAAATATATATACTGTATTACAATATATATACATGACTTGTTATATGTAATACAATATTAATAATCTCAAATTGAAGAAAGTTATCATAACAATTCTGGAAACTATTAGAATTATATTTTGTAGTACACATTTATTTTGTGATCATTGCTTCTTTTTCACCAAGTTCAGCATTAAATAAATATATGACTAACACAGGTAAAATAAAGAAAATTAGAGATTTTAGAAATGTATGTAATTAATTTAGAATGGAAATGATTCAATGCTTCTGATGTCTGAAACTTATTGGATCACAAAGGTTATTAGAAATTAATTTCTTATTCTCACAAACTAGGCTGTGAACACTGATCCAGTTCCAGTGAAACTGCACTATGACAAATCCCATGATCAAGTCTGGGTTCTCAGCTGGGGAGATAAAGAGAAGACTATACCCACACTCCAGGTAATCATAGCTTGATTTTAAAAAATGTAAAAACAAAAGACTTGAGGCTAACTACATATGATTTAATAATGTGAAGTACCTCAGTATCCTGGACCATGCCCACACACTATCCGGACAGTATATTGAACTTTTGTGTTCTTGAGTTATTTACATGCATTCTTTGCTCTGATGCTTGTTTAAAACAACTTTGACAGTGTATTGTTTATTTCATCCTTAAATAAACATGAGAGAAATATTAATTTAATAACATGGTTTGCACTGTCTATATATTCCCACTGCCTATACTGTATATAGTTGTAATACCTTAAGTGGAAGTTATTAGCCAAAGTTCAGATGGGATACCAACAACAATCTCAAACAGCTGTACTTAATCACCATCATTATGAATTTAGCTATATATACTGAACTCAAATACCTCCATTCACAGTCGTCTCAAGCATCTTTTCTCCAGCTCATGACCACCTAGCAGCTACAGAACCCCTCCTTTCACTCCGTCTGAATGGGGTTCAAGCCTCCTTGCCCTTTGGCCAAGAGGCTACCCATTAACCAAGCATGTTGGATAACCAACCAAACTTATCTCACCAAAATAAGATTAGTATCCCATCCAGGGTGTATCTAATTTTGTGCCCTTTGCTGACTGGGTTAGACTTCAGCTCTCCCCATGACCCTGTATCTGATAAAGCTGTTAGAAAATAGATGGATGCATGTATCAGACTTACATTATAAATTCGTCATGAACTCAATTTTACAATGAGATTTTTTTCATCTTAGTTTTCTTTGTCTTCTATTTAGGTGATCTATTAGGCTTCAGTTCTCACCATGATCCTGTATGGGATAAAGTACTTAGACATTTGATGGACGCATATATTAGACTAATATTATAAATTTCTCATGAACCTAATTTTAAAATTATATTTTTTACCTAATTTTTTCCTTTTATTTTTTTTCTTTGTCTTCCATTTAGGTGATCAATCAGGCCAGTGGGAGCATGTCCCATCATACCATACATACACAGCCGGTTGGAAACCGGTTTGATAAGGTGGAAGATTTTTTCATTCCAGCTACAACCCTTATTATCAGTCACATCAGGTAAGGATAGGATGGCAGTATTTATCTGAACTTAATTCCCAAGCCACCTTGCATTCACTGAAATTGGCAAATTTAAAGTAAAGAAACAGCATCTTTTCATCAGTACTTCAATTTCAATTTAAAGAAAAGCAGAATTCATGCATGGCGATTTCTTGCTTTGTACAATTTAAAATGGAAATATAGTACACAGAAGGTATTCAAAATATGTTAACATTCACAGTTTATAAAAAAAATTGAATTTCATGAGTGTATATTGTTTTCAGATAAAATACTATTTGCCTTTCAAGTCTGACCTTTTACTCTTTGTAAATATACAGAATATTTTCTATATTCTTTAAATATTTTATGACCTATTAATGTGTGGAAAATAGCTTTAAATTGATTGGTAAGACAAAGGAACTGTTACATCTTTCTGCCAGAATTACTTTATAAGGTATTTCCTAACTTACAGTTATCAAGTATAGAGTATAATTAGATGTTACACATAGAAGGTAACCTATTCCAAAATGTTGCTTTATTGAGTAAATATTGATTTTAGAAAACACAAATAAAACATATAAAACATACAGTAAACACCATATGCTGTTTATAGTAATAGATAGTTAATTATACATACTCAGTGTTTATAAATTATTGTATGTAAATATTAATTAAGTGCATTATTAAATATTAAATCAAAATGTCAAATCACCTTCTAGTTCTATACATATTCCTTGATGGTGGCTTTCTGTTAATGTTTTATATCAGCTGAAATTGAAATGGAATATCACTGTTTAAGACAAGTATTGATAGCTTTACAACAAGTGTTTATATTGAATAATTTTAGTTGTTTTTCATATTCTTTATGATGTGTTTCTGTGGGTCTTCATTAAGGTATGAAATAACCCTTACGACAACTACAATTCTTGTTATAAAGAGTACGAATCAGGTGGACATTAGCAGTCAATATGGAAAAATTAATATATTTTAGGATTCATTTCACTTACAGATATTTTCTTGAAGTATCCTCTAGATTTTAATTTTGAATATTATAAATAAAGAATTATGCCTATTTTGAAAATAAATCAAGTTCAAGTAGTTGATTTCCATAACGATAATCAGGGGTTTAGCTTTAATGTCTTTTATTTGTTTAACAAAAAATCACTTTTTAACTTAAAGCAGACTACCACATTTACAAGTTCAGGTGGGTAGCTGCGTCAGCATGCGTAGGCTGCAAAGGAACAAGTAATAGGTTTATTCCATGCTGAAAAAAAGAAGAAAGAGAACACAACATTTCGGCCGTGGAGTGACCTGAAGAAGGCTCCACGGCCGAAACATTGTGTTTTCTTTCTTCTTTTTTTTCAGCATGGAATAAACCTATTACTTGTACAATATTTACAAGGTCATTTACAAGGTTTTTAGTTTTACTATGAACCTGAAACTGGATTTAATTTTTTGCATTGTCCAGCCATGGTATCCAGTAGGATTGTTGCGACAGTTATAAAGACATATGCTTGACGGCATAATATTTCTATGCATGTAAACCTATCCTAGAAAAGCTCCACCGCTGTCCCTTTTCTCACATGAAATGATCTCCCTTCTGAGCATTTACAGAAAGTATTGTTATTATACTGAGAATGTTCGAGAACAGCTTAGATTTGTCATCTGCATGACTGACCTTGAAGATGACTTAACATGGACTCTACTGTGCTGAGACTCTGCCAGAAATGTAGTATCTGAACAAAGTTCTATTTGTAATCCTGTCCCTTTGAATCCTCTGATGAAACTGCTTACTCAGGCCTTTGAACGAGGTTCCATTCATACAGTATATTCTATTACCATTAAATATTTACTATTGCATGTTAGCTCCTTTTGTGGTTCGGACACGATTTGATTATTTTCTCCGCTAGCTATCACAATATCACAGGCTATTTCATAGCCTGGATGTAAAAATGATCTTATTAGTTATTTTTTCCAAAAACAAGGTACTGTATAACTGGGGATTTTCCTGGGGAATTATTTCAATGCTACCTTCCAAAAATTCAAATGTTTTACCAGTTATAAAGTATATAACCATACATTTTTGCTATGTTTTATTGTTGAATACCACATCGAATTGAATTTGAATAATTATATACTATATATATGTAGCATCAAAAGACACATCATGTATTGCAATTAATAGTTCAAGAGTGGCACAAGCACCTCAGAATGTTTTTTATAAAAAATATTTATTAAGACCATTGGATTTCAATTGTAAAGCAGATATTTTTTTAAAGTTCCAGAAAAGCAAAATGTCAAAATGTTCACTTCACAGAAAAGACTTAAATCCCCAATTTAAGGTAAAAAAATCTAATCAAAGAGTTTGCAAGTGCTAGAAGAAAACAAATTGCTGGATTTGTATTAGGTACAATTTGAAAGCATGAAGTAATAGCAGGTTTTAAAATAAATGTGTATCAAGTGTGCAATCAACACAATTCATTTTAAACAACAAATATGTAACAATCAATTATTATAATTAATTACTATAATGGAGGGTTATCCAATCATTTAAAATGTTTCATGGAATCTTGTTCAGTTTACTATTTCATCCAATGGACGATAATACCTATGGCATTACAGTATGTCCCTGATCGAAATTCTGGGGCATTAGTTTTGGAAGTTCTGGTCTAAAAAGGAAAGTGCCACCTACAGTACTAATCTACCAACACCACTTCTAATAGCAGCCAAGTTTTTCCTTGTATATCTCCTATTCCTGTAGTGACAGGACCCAGCTTTGCTTATTTCAGAATTCTTATGACATCATGTAACAGATTTATAAAACTACTGCCATAATATGACTAACATAAATTAGAAACAAGGCAAATAGGTGCATATGAAATGTGACAGTATATTCTCAAACCATAAAGAGTAGCCTTTGATCACCTTTTAACTTTGTGAATAACATTTTTACAAAAAAGTAGAATACTGTATGTATGAATGTATAAATGATGTACATGATAAATGTCTGTTGATTTATGCAAACAATGTGAAAAGTGAACTAAAGAGGGTAATTATATGCACAAGGTATTCACAAAAACTTTCTAACCATATGGTCATCTAACGTGAACATAAGAATGCACACCTGAACAAATGAAAAGTAGGTATTCTGAACTGCAGTCCTTACCGAAGGGAAGATGCTATAATTGAAAGTGAGAAGAAAAGGAAAGGCCCAAATTTTGAAGAACAGCAATTACCAGAATATTATTCAAAGTATACTAAAAAATAACATTGTTTAAAACAAATATTTTACAGTATTTTACATTCTCCAACAGAATGTGCCTATGTTTCTCTCTTACATTTCTTTAAAAGTTTGTGTGTTTATAAGTGAATACTTCTAAGGATAAGATAAGTTACAGCAAAAGTCAGCAAAAAATAAAGAGTAAAAAGAAGCAGAAATATAGAGATTGCATAAGTTTTCAGACCCACAAACACAACCTTTGATGAAAGGACCTTTAACAACAATTACAGGCACTCTTCCAATTCTGGATACCAGTTTATTCTTCTAGGCAGACTTGTTCAAGCTCTCTCGGGTCAATCACTTACAGACATCCATTTTCAAGTATTTTTCACAAAGTCTTAAAATAATTCATCAGGACATTAACTTGGCATTTCAAAGTGGTTCAATTTTCTATTCTTAAACAATTCTTGTGTTTCTTTGGTCTTCTGTTTAGGATCATTATCCTGCTGTAAGGTAAATTTTATTTACACTTTGAGGTCTGAAACATAATTTCCTCTAGGATTTTCTCCGTTTTCATCAGTTTTGACAAGCTTCAAAGTCCCTGTTGATGAAAATCAGAACTATCACATAATGATGCCACTACCATGCTTGACAGTAGAGATGGTGCTGAATGAATAATGCACTACTGAATGTTGAGTTTGTGTCAGATGTAATTTTTGACATGTAGACCCAAGAGTTCCAATTTCATCTTATCTGACTACGAAAATGTTTTGCCAATTGTTTGCAGTATTACTTAGATGCATTGCTGCAAATTCAATGTGGTATTTGAATTTTTTCCCTTTCACACAAATCTTCTTTGTGTAGTGACAAAGATTTTGTTGACCAATGGACCTTTCTCCCTTCTCAGCCAGTGAACTCAATAACTGTTTTAAAGTTGCCATTGGTCAGATGTTCAGTTTGGACTGACAGCCAAATCTAGGTAGTGTCTGGGTGTCTTCCACTACTTAATGATCAACTTTACTATGTTCAAAGACATTTTAATGATTTTTCACTTCTCCTGCTATGTGCCTTTATACAACTTTATCTTTGTGTTGTTTTGAAAGCTCCTTGGTCTTAGTCTTCATGCATCTAAATGTGTGGCTTAAAGTAATTGCGTGAATTAAAATTAATTTAGGCAAAGGGTTTGAATATGGAGTAATATTATAGTAATAAGTGGAATATTAATTCCTACTGCAAAGTGTAATGACTGTAAAGCAACAAAAATATAAAAAACTGTGCAAGGGTCTAAATTGTGCAAGGCACAAGTTTTTGGAGAGTACTGTATATGCCACATCTGAGAAAATGTACATATACTGAATGGGTCTCTCTTTTTTCTTATTTACTACTTTTAAACCACGCAAGAATGGAAATTAATTAATTAATTTACTGAATTTCTTAGTAATTTCCAATAACTATGACACATATATCAGACTCTATAATGCTTTAGCTAAATATGTAGTGTTACATTATATTTTTGAGAATTTCTATTTAACTTAAAAAAATGAAAATAAATTTAAAAAAATCAGTAACAGAGCCACACCGGTATTCTATGTGTATAGAACTGTTTAGTTCGCAAAAAAAAAAAGAGAAAATTGTCATGTTGTGGAAGTTGGTGTGTTTTCTTTTATTTGTATGAGAGAGAGGTTAAAGAGAAAAAAGTTTTGGTTTACTCTATTATAGCCGACAAGTTTAGGTGCAAGACCAAAAAACAACAGAAAACAGAAAAAGTGCACTAGCTCCCATTTTGAAAGACAATGCAAAA